TTTCCCAAAATACAACCGCTCCCTGAAACTAGCCTGTTGGTTTTCTCCCCAAAAATAGTTAATAAACTTGGCCTCAAATTCCTGCACATTATTTATGGAATTTTCATTATTGCAAAACCATAATAATGGCATGCCCACTAACATGTTTCGAATATTCAATTTCATTTCTATTGGATCCCTTACATTCTTTACCTTATTTTTGATGATATCTACAAATATTCTAGGATGTAAGTGATTCAGGTTTCCATCAAACTTTATTCCCCCATCATTATAACTCGGCACCACAGTACTCACTACTCTTGTTTGTCCTAGATTTGATTCCAAACGCTGAATCTCCTCACTTGCATTTTTAAATTTCTCTCTCAATTCCTCAACTTGTCCCTGTAATACTCTATCTCCCTTTTCCGCCTGATTTGCATGCATACCCATTTCCAGTTCCAAATTCTGCAATCCCTTCTTTATATTATTTTTTATAATGGTAATTTTTTCCTCATAATCCTGAGTTTGCCTTTTAACACTTTCTACCTCCCTAACAATCTCTTTATTCTGCTTATTAACTTCTTTGTTTATTTCCATTGGTAAATTCTCTTTAATGGCTGTTCCCAACTCTACAAATCTGCTCCCAATTTCCTGTCCTATTTCCGCTCTAATTATGGCCTTTTCTCTGGATATCTCCTCCTGTACATTCCTCTTAAAATTCTCACTTTCTCCTCTGACCTGTTCTACTTTCTCTTCTAAACCTTGGGTAATTTGTAGCATCTCTTCCCTGACTATCTTCACTTCTTCTTTGATTTCTTCCCTCATTTTAATTAACTCTTCCCTAAGTTCTCCTTTAATATTATTTTCCATTTTGTTCATATCCCCCCTAATATTGTTAATATTACTATCCATTTTGTGCATATCTCCCCTAATATTATGATCCATCTGTTGTAACATCCGCATTATTTGCCTCATATCCATCTGTGTCATCCCTGACTCTCCAACATCTCCTTCCCTACGTCTCTCCTCCTGCACTCTACATTCATCCACACTTTCATCACGTCTATCTCTCACTGTCTCATCCAACTCCTCTCTCAAACTATCTGTTAGACTTCCCTCTCTATCACCTTGTCCTGCTTCTTGTCTGCCTTGCTCTAAATATTGTACTACAAATTCTCCTGATCCTCCTCTGCTTTCTTCATCTACCTGTATACCCTGTTCCTGTTCTAACACCTGTTCTCCTTCACTCTCTTTCGGTACGATTTCTTTTCCATTTCTTAAAGTCATTCGGTCTGCCATTTTATCCTAATCTCTATTTATTCTCAAATTTAACTTTAACTACCCCAGAATATCTACAACTCTAATCACACCAATTTGTTTTTATTTTAATCTGTGTATTATTAATAAATCTGCTTAAAAAAAAACACCCTTATTTCTGTTTTCCCAGAGGCTCCACGTTGTTAGCGCCAATTGTAATAGTTTTGTTTTTATTATTTTTATGTTTTATTGTTAATAAATATAATTTTAATTGAATTGAAGTGAATTTTAAAAGTATGTAGTTCGTTGTTAATATACTATACCTCGGCTAGCTCAATTATTTGTTCTAAGCAATCTGTCACTGTGTGACGTCAACTCTGTAGTCTCCTGGTAGAGTTCAAAAAGAAATTAAACCAAAATTTACTTTATATTTTTGATAAATTAACCCAAATGAAGCACGTTATTTATTAATATTGAACAAATTTAATATAAACAATAAAATTCGTCTGCAACTTGGGTTGCCTTTAAAAATTTACAAAAATAGGAATCGTGTAAACCTTAATGTGTCGTGAAAATAGAATTTGATTACAAAATGTGGAAACTCTCTACAATTACCTCAAATCTAAATGACTATTGCAACTTTATAAAGTGTTTAAATGAAATATAAAGAAAAGAAAACTGAACACTTTATGCCGCTGACTTATAACTAGCATTAAAATATAATCAAAATTTCAAATGATCCCCAAAATTATTATCCAAACTCACTTTCAAACAGTTCTGATTTTTTTTTTTTTTTAAAGAAAACTAACTACTCGCAAAATAATCGGTGATACTGGAATATCTATCCTCTCTTCGGAAGTTAAAGGTACGTACTATTATATTTTTATTTAAATGATCATTAATATTTCAATTTTTAAGGCCTATCGCAATTAGTTAATTCATGAATTTTTACTTTTTCAATCTAAATGACATTTCTGCACTCCAATTATAATTTATAAGTCAAAATTTCTCTTACTCTCTGGAACAAATTCTGGATATCTCTATTTGAAAATGTGGAAAAACTAAATTATAATTAAACGATTTTAAAGCACTCCCGGACTATTCCACCTTTTTAGGGCTCTTCCTCCAAAATTTTCGTCGCCTCCAACAACCTATTCTTCCTTGTTAACCGCCATAGCTAGCACCAACCACCAAAATTATTCGTTGCTAACAGCAACCCCCTTTCTTTTTTCATTCCGTCTTCTATTTTATTCAACCATAAAACTGTCCTGTTTTGACATATTTGTCAAACCACATTAATTTCTCATAAGCACTTTAATCACATCTAATTTGGGAATTTATAAAAAAAAATTCAGATATAAAACTTAACAATACTAATATAATTTATTCTTTTCATCTCCACATCATTGTAATTTATTTAACAAAACCCCTATTAATTTAGTTCCCACAGACTTTTGACAGTTTATTTTTCTGACGTTTATTTTTAAAATTTCTATGTTTAAATAATTTTTTAAGAATTCTTCTTTTTTATTCCTTTTAAGGTTTAGACGATTCACCTATACACTAGGCAACTATACTATTCAGAAATTATTAACACTATACCAGGTAAGTCAAAATTAATTTATTTAGCAATTTACTAATCTTTTCTCCCTTTTATTTCAGAGTCGACCCCACATTGTGATGGCTTCATGAAATTCATGAACAACAAACTCATATAAAAATCCCTTTAAGTTATATCCTCTTTGACATATTGAAATCATTTCAATATTGTATTGATATCATGGAAATCATAAAAAATGACAAAAATCGCACCACGGTTATTTATATAACAAATTAATAAAAACTAAGTTTATTTGCGGCAAAATACAAAAATTGCATACGAAAGCTGCACTCCTTACATTTGAAATGTATCTTTTCGCGGTAGAGAACGGTTCACTCTACACAAAAAACATCTTTGTTTAAAATTATGCCCGGAAACAAAAGTGGTAAACTTTTTTGCATCTTTTTTAGTGTCCCAAAATTGACATTCTTGGCAAAATTCAGCTTGTTCGTATGATTTTTAGAGGTTCAGTGGCATTTTCGTCTCTGAACACTGGAGTAACATGGCAATTTCCGCAAAAAATGAGATGTGTCCGAACACTTAATTGTAATTATAAACAAAATTGCGACTTTCAAAAAATATTTGAAACAGGGCTGTGCAGGGAAAAAAAGGTAGGTTAAAGCTAATTGAATTTCAAACATCAAAATCTTCTTCTTCTTCTTCTGCCGTCTCCACTAATGAAGGTTGGCTATAACCATTGCAAATTCGTCTCTATCTTCTTCTTTTCTTAAGAGCGTCTGTGTGTTTAACCGGTCCAGTCGCGAATGTTTTTCAGCCAGGATATTTGTTTACCAGGGCCCCTTTTAACTTCGATTTTACCCTTCATAATCAGCTGCAACAACTCGTACTTATCATTTTTAAGTATGTGCCCCAAATATGCTGTCTTTCGCCTTGTAATGGTGGTCAAAAGTTCTCTCTCTTGCCATTCTGTGCAACATCATTTCGTTTGTAATATGATCGGTCCATCATCATCATCACTGGCTCAACAACTCTTTTTGGGTCTTGGCCTGTTCCAGGATTCTTCTCCATTCTGATCTGTTTCGTGTTTTTTTCTCCAGTTTTTTATTTTTAAAGTTGTTATATCATTTTCTATTTGTTCTAAGTATCTCAGCTTCGGTCTTCCTCTTGTTCTTTTTCCTACTGACATCTGTCTGGCAAACAGATGATCGGTCCATGGTATCTTCAAAATTCTCCTAAAAAGGCACATCTCAAAAGCTTCTAGGTTGGTCAACAGTTAACATGTCTTGCTGAGTCTTTTCCAACGCCGTTTACTGAATTTAATTTAAGCTAATATTCTGCTATTTGTTTATAAACCAAAAAATTTATTAAAATTTTAAAACATTCCTGAGACCGTCAAAATAATCTGATTTCAATTCCATAAAGTATGTTAGATAATATAAGTAATTTGTTATAAATAAAAAATTGGCAAATTTCTATATGGTCTAGTTTTTGTTGTACAAGATTTTAAAAAAAATTGGTATTATATTATAGATGAAGTGTTATAGAAGATTTTCTAGACGAATTTTGAAGGTACTAAGTGCAATCTAAGTGGTTGAAAAACATTAAATAAGACAAGTCTTTTCCCTAATCTCATCTGGAATCATTTCGGCTTCACTTTCACTGCTGATTTCCATTTCTTGCAATTAAAAAACGAAAACCTGAGCGAAAACACACAAATCTTAAATTGCAAGCGTTGTCATAATAAAATACAAAGTTGATGTTATTGTCAAAGCTGTTACCTAGCTACCCAAAATCGTCCCGAAATTGTAAAAATTAGTCCCGAAACTCGAAAGTAACTACTGTCGGTACGAGTTGTGTAAAATGGTACTTTCGATTTAAATCATACCGAAAGTTTTATTTTCGGGACGGCTGCAGTAAAAATATATTACTATTGAGCTGATTAATTACTGTCATATTACAGTACACAATAAAAGAAAAAACATTGATGTACATCATGATAAAGTGAAAACGGGTACATCCACGATCTCTAAAAATGCATTTGATAATAAGGTTGCATCAAGAACAACTGTATTTCGGTGGTATTCGGAATTTATATTTGGTCGAAGTAGCCTTAGTGAGGAATTTCGTGAAGGTCGACCGACAACACCAAAAACGGCAGCAATTATAATAATGTTAAAAGAGTAAAGCGAAAGTAAGTACTTACATAAAATTGTTCAGTGCGTGGTCTGAATTCTCTCAGTCCTGCAGCACCGTCCAAGGAATACGTCGACAGAGGTGAAGAATCACCTTGTAACAATGGTCTGGCGATTTGCTGAACGCGCTGGGCCTTCCGCCTTAGGCCGCGCATCTCAGCCAATAGGGCTTCATACTGAGACACCGGCAACGACATCACCGAATACTACATTCTGAAATGAAAGAAAATCTTGGAAAATATTGATGCATTTTGTATTTTGAAGTGTGCAAATTGTCATATTTAAATAGAAATGTTTCACCAAAACACCCCCGACAGTGTGTTTTGAACTTGAACATAAGTTCAATAATAATCTAATGATAATAAAGGGAATACAATAATTTGTTCAATTAAAAGTGTAGCTTGTATGGTATGATAACTTCATGTCACAAATGTCTTTATTGTAATCCTTCATCCACCTGTCTGAATGAAGTGATGTTATGATTATTCACAATATGTTATTTTACACCTACACCCTAAATAAACAGTAAACTAAAAGTTTAGTGATAATGAAGATATTTTACTTGATAATCAAAAAGTGAACTTTGCTAATCATAGAAATATTCCAAAAAGTTTAAAAATTTGAGACCACATTATACAAGGTGACCCAGAATAAATTTCCATTTTTAGTTGTACCACATTAAAATGTAAACAGAGTTGAACAGATGACATCAGGTAGTCAAGACATGCGGATTTATTAGTAACCATGGACCAGTGGTCAGACAAACAACATGTATTTCAAAAGCAATGATTCACACACTCTGGCAAGGTGACATTTCTGTCCTCACTACAATATATGTCGTGTAGCGGATGCACCCTCTAAAATGTTGTAAAAGTGTGGATGGCTAAGTTTCGAAACACTTGTGCAGCCCAAAATTAGAAACAACCAGGTAAGCCAAAGTCGACTCAGCAGTGAATATTGCTGGAGTATGTCATGTAGTAATTCGACATCCCACAATATCGGCTCACAAGGTTGCATGGACATTACAAATTAGTCACCCAACTCTGCAACGCATTTTAAAGCAGGATTTGCTCTTTATTCATTCAGTACCTTAATTCAGCTGGTATAGCACCTAAAACCTACAGACTTTCGTCTTATCTCCTTACATGGCGACATTGAATGGCCTCCACGATCGCCTGACCTCACGCCTCTAAATTTCTTTTTGTGGCGATATTTGAAAAGCCGCGTCTACGTTGATACCTCTGCTACCATTGCTGAGCTGAAACAATGAGAGTACTGTTTGCAAGAGTACTATGAGCAAGGTAGCCGTCAGATGGACACCAGTATTTTTCAAAAGTAAATTAGCATTTGTACGCTTTTATGTTTTGTTAGTAAATTGTTTCTGACTTCACAACTTTCTATTTTATAACTTTTTGAAAAGGCCAATTTACTTTGGGTCACCTTGTGGTTCAATATTAGTGGGTCATCATCATAAGTGGCTCGACAATCCTTTGTGGATCTTGGGCTGCTCACAAAGAAGCCGCCACTCCTGTCGATTCCTGGCAACTTCCCTCCATCTTCTAACCCTTAGAATCTGTAGATCTTCTTCCACAACATCAATCCATCTCATTCGTGGTCGTCCTCTGCTTCTTGTGCCCTCTGGTTTTGAAAATGTTAATCTCTTCATGTATTCGTGATCTGATATCCTAGCAATGTGTCCAGCCCATCTAAGTCTCTGCACTTTAACGAATTTCACAATATCTGGATCAGTGTATAACTGATATAGTTCAAAGTTGTATCTTCTACGCCATAGCCCTCATAAATACCAAGAAGTCTTTTATCATTTTGAGATAAGTTCCACGTTTCATCCCAACATATCAAAACCGGTCTTATTAAGGTTTTGTATATATTAAACTTTACTGAACGTTTTATGTTTTTATTTTTTAAATGTTTCTGGAGACTGTGAACAGTTCTGTTTGCTATTGCTATGCATCTTTTTATTTCGTCGCTTGTCGTGTTTGTTGTGTTTACTAGAGATCCAAGATATGTAAATTCTTTGACTTGCTTAAAGGTATGGTTGCTAATTTGAATTCTTTGTTGGATGTTTCGATGGTTTTCAGAAACCAACATATATTTGGTTTTTTCCTCATTTACCACAAGTCCTAATTCACTTGCTGTGTCCGCAAGCCTTGTAAAACACTGCACCATGTCTCTCATACTTCTGCCTACTACAATTTGCGTCAATCTATTAAAAACAGTTCCATTCATTTTAATATTTAATTGTCTGATTGCCTCTTCCAAGGCAATATTAAAGAGCAGACACGCCAACCCGTCCCCCTGTCTTAGACCATTATTAATGTCAAAGAATGTAGAGTTTTCTTCTTCAATTCTAACACATGAGCTTACGTTTTGTATTGTTAATTGGGTCAACTTAACTAACTTAGGTGGGATCCCAAAGTCTATCATTGCATTATATATTGCAGTTCTTTTCACACTGTCATAGGCTGCTTTGAAGTCAATAAAGAGATGGTGTATATCTATGTTATATTCTAGTGACTTTTCTAGAATCTGCCTATGTGATTGAATTTAATGTGTAGTTGACTTTCCAGCAGTAAATCCGCATTGATATTGACCAACAATATCCTTTGTAAAATGTTTAAGTCCTTCAAATAATACATTGCAGAAGATTTTATACGCAGATGCTAACAGAGTAATGCCTCTATAGTTCTTACACTTCAGTTGATTACCATTTTTATGCAACGAACATATTATTCCCTTCGGCCTCTCTTCTAGTACCTGTTCATTCTGCTATATAAGTACTATAAGTTTATGGCTATACTATAGTTTATATTAGTGGGTGTTGACCACTAATATTGAACCCTTCCACTTGACCTAAGAGGTCTATTGGGCTTTCTGACCACATTATAAAAACAAGAAGAAACACAAGTTGAAGTATAAAAATGTAAAATGAAAATGGCTGCAAATTTCAAATGAATTATTGTAGTAACAATACAGGAGGAGGTGGAGAAACATTCGCAATTATCATATCTTATTTCTGAAGAGGACTTTTAAAACTAATTCAATGATCCAGACAATCTTAAGACCATACAGGCCTGGTTCTCCAAATAGACAAACCTAATGCCGTTTTAGGGTTTTTTCTTAATGATATTAAATGAGACACTAAAGTTGATGCTTAGTTGAGATTAGTTTTTAGCTTCTTGAATGCAGAATTACTGTTCGTGAGAGACTATCTACACTTATGTGCATATAAATCAGTATACTTGTAATTGTTAGCTTTTAGAATTCTTTTTCAGAAGAAACAAGATTTCAAAAAGGAACAAAAGATGATGTAGAGAACAAAAACATACATTATTATGGTAGGATTTGATCACATTTTGCTGGAATATGTGCTTGCATATAATGCCATATTTCCTTTTTTGAGTATTAGTATTGTAATATAGGTCCTCAACTGATCTGGTTCATGATTGCTATTTAAAAATTCTTGAAAAAATAATTCTATGTTTTAAATTTAAATTACTGTTTCTTCACTGTATTTTAAGAGTTCATTTGGCATATCATCAGTCCTTGAGCTTTTCTTTTTTTTTATTTGCTGAGGACTTATTACTTTCTTTGTACTTTGTATGTTGCCATGATCACTTTCATTATCAGCTTCTGTAGGACTAATATAGTCTAACTGTCTCCATTGTGAAGTTCTTTTATAAACATATCCATTGTTCTGTTTCTATTTTGTTTAGATTTTTGTATTCATTAATAGTTTTCTTCTACTTTTAAGGGTTTTCCAAACTTTTCTTTGCACTCCATATAGGTTGTGTACCATGTCTATGGTGCATGATGTGCAACAGTATATTTTATGCTTATCTTAAAATTGGAAGTATTCCTGGGGATAATATATAGGCAATGAGAATACTTTAAAGAGGATACTTAATGTTAAAATAATTTAAGTTTATTTTTAAATAAAATTTTTAAACACTGTTGGTGGAATTTTTGACCCTTTGTAGTACCAGTATTGGAAATCCCAGAGGTTAACATGGAACTTAATACGCTAATAACCAAAGGAATCACCAGTAATACTACAAATTCCTTCCTGAAATATTGATGCTATTTAAAACTAAAACATTTTAATTTTTAAAAATGCTGAAAATTTCATATACTTTGAACAAAATATAAAGCAGTTTTTCCAAAAAGTTTCAAAAATTTTAAACTCAAAATAGATTTATCTTGTTGCTTTCAGTGTCTATTTATTTTTAACAAAAAGGTAATATCTGTAAAAATATAAATCAACTCTTAACTCATTTATTTCAGAGACATTTATTAAGTCAGAATAAAAAACACATGCTCAATTTAAACTAAGGATTTACAAACTATATGTAGAATTCAAAACTTGTAGATTTTTAAAAATAAAAATGAATTAAGCTATTTTCTAAACTTTAAATATAAACAATTGTATTTGAATGCCAATTTATTAAGGAATATGAATATATTATACAAAACATGACAGAAAAACTGATAAAAATTATTTGTACATTGATAACAGATATTATGTTTATACAATGTGCATATTTTTATCTAAAAACATTAAGACATTTCAAATAATTGGTCAATTTAATATTCAGATTAATTCATCTTTTCTGAAAACTCACATCACATTTTACAAAAAGTCCTCATAAATATTTTTCCAAAATTGGTAGAAGTGGAGAAGCAAATATATGCTAACAAATGTTTATAACTTTGTAGGTGTCTTTTAAGTCTAAATATCTGAGTTCTCTATCATGTAACTAACTCAATAATTTATTTGATGTTTTGTTCATGATATTTTGTAAAAATAATATTTTTACCACAAATTAAGACTCTGCATAATACTTAAAACTTTAATGACTTATTAAATTAACTCTATATAGAAGTCATGTAAGTCATTTAAGGTGTTGAAGAAAAGTGTTGGTGAAGAAAAATTAGTACTTAAATTTAAAATTTTTCAAAATCATAAAAAATGCTAATAATTATTATAATTTTATCTGCAACTTTTAATGTAAAATACCTATGTGTACTATATATAATAATTTTTATTATTCTATAATACTTAATGTATGTGTGTGATGTTATATTTCTAAAGTTTAAATGAACTTAAAAGATTAGGAGAGAATAAAGAAAAAATGACAAAATTATAACAATTTGGAATGACTTAAAATATACAAAGATATTACATTCAATAATTAATTTATGTATAACATACATACCAATTATATTTCTTGAACATATTGATAATTCTGTATTTTATAGCAGATTTTAAAACCTATGGTAATTTAAAGGAAAATAAATTTTGAAACAACTAATAACTAAACGATATATTAATTATCAATGGAAGTTTTAGAAAACTGTAATAATAATGGATATGTTCTGGTGGTAACAAAATAGAAATGAACCAAATGAAAAATCATCACTTTTTGTTATTGACTAAAAAATTGGGTAAAAACAAACATGGAAACAAGTCTCCTACCATTATTGATTTTAGAATAGCATGGAAATGCGAGGGTGTGTGACATTTTTCTTAAAATTAAAATAAAAAAGTTTCCTTGGTTTGATGACTATATATTACTTAATTGATCATCATTCAAACCATCACTTTTAATTCAAAAATTACTGCCGGGATTAATGGGAATGATTCATATCTTTTAATTTTTGTACAATGTTTTTATTTTATATATCTGCCAAGAGCTGTCAAACTCTAAAAATAAACATATTCTTTCATGTTTAGACGTCTAATATTAAGCAATTACTTACCATGATTTTGTCAAACGAATTATCAATTACACCAAGATCACACGAAATTCGTATTTCGCAAAAATATCCTAAATGGATATCAACTCTTTGTATCGCGACATTTGTTACTAAAACACAAAGGGTGAAGTTAGAAGCAATTAAAAATGAAAACGTGAAGGTCACGATCTGAAGTTTCTCCGGTTTGCAGGGTGGTATTGGCATAATCCACGGTTGCCAGATTGGGGTATTTTCCCCCAAATTTGGGGTATTTTTCTTGCTTGGGGGATTTTTTGGGGGTATAGACTGAATGGGAAATTTTTTGGAGGAAAATTTTTTTACATTGGGGTTTTTTGGGGTATAATTTTAAGAACACATTCCATTGTCTGGTCGATTTTGAATTTCAAGTTAAACTGTGATTCACAAAAATCTTTGAATATAAATTAATTTACAGTCGATTCTGCCATCTAGTATAAACTATTAAACTTACATCACAGTTTTCTTCAACAGCTGCACAACAAAATTTGATTTTTGTGCGCTTGATGGCAGATGAAACACAGAAAATCGTATCTCCTGTCCTATTGTGTAACTTTATTTACTTTTCTATTTCTAGAATTAACTTTGAGGATTATATTTCTGTGATACCTAGTGTAAGTTTGAAGGTTATAATATAACATATATATTATATCTATATTGAACACACTGTTCAATACGCATAATTTATTTGGTATGCTTGGTAGGCATGCTTGGTATTTGTTTTTGCGGGTGGGTATCTTTTCCATCAGTTGTTTAAATCCTCAAGCAATATTTTTGTATTCCTAAGAGCAATCAAGAAGTTTTTATTATCTAAATGTTACTATAGTATAGAGGAATTTTTGGAGGACAGTTGCGCTAATTGGTATATATTTTGTAATTATGGAAATTTTATAATTAGTATTTTAATATATCTTGTACCTTGTTTGTACTATACCATGTTGTGTTTCTCTCTCTCTCTCTCTCTCTCTCTCTCTCTCTCTCTCTCTCTAAATAAAATTTCATGCAACACATTTTTTATTTATTTATTTCATGAAAGTACAAATGTTACTTATTAAAAAATGCTAATTATACAATTACAGACCCAGAGCGAAGGTTATGTGGGTCAAATTAGAAAAAGTATTTAATACAAACACTATGGATTCGACCGCTACTGGATGGAAATTCATTTTATGTTACAATAAAACACTTAAAACTGTGTTTTCAAACTTCCACAAAATTTATTTTAACTCTTATCACTACAGTTGTTTCGGCTGATTGCCTTTCTCAAGTGATCTATTTTTGGCATGCGTTTACAATTTATAGTCTCTAATGAAATAGGTTGAGGAGGGGAGAACCATTTGTCTTAAGTTGGTCATTCAGAATTATATCTGTTTTTTTTTAATTTGTTGATTTCCATAGATTCTAACAAAGATAGCTTAAGGCCTTTATTTTGAATATGAAGAATTTTAACTTTGTCATTAAAAGAATAATTATGATCTAGAAGGTGAAATGCGTATGTCGAATCTGTTTCTCTATTATTGAAAGCCCTTTTATGTTCTGCCATTCGTTTATTAAAGTTTCTACCAGTTTGACCGATGTAAGTTTTTCGGCAGTCGCCACATTGAAGTTTGTACATACCACTATTTAAGTGTTTTTTATTTTGGCTCTTGTTATTGGCAGCTGCACTGGCAGCTTATCATAGTATGTTACATAAATTAACAGAAATTCCAATGTCAAAATACAACTTTGAGACAGAATTAAATATAATTAGGCATATAGCAGTAAACAACGGATACAACGAACAAACAATTAATAAAATGTTAAATCAAAAACTACACAAGAAAGCCCTGAAATTAGTATTTCCATCACCAGAGAAAAAACCCAGTACCTACTGCTCGATTACATATGCAGGCAAAATAACAAAAATAGCCAAACAGAAAAAGAAAGGAATAACACCAGCTTTCCGAAAAAATAACAACCTAGGCAAATATATTAAAAATAACAAAAAATTGTTCTATGCATAAAACATATTATATAATATATAACCAACTTGCAAAATGTAATAATAAATACATTTAAAATTCCGGGGGATTTTTTTTAAATGTCATTTTTTGGGTATTTGAGGTTCAGGTTGGGGGAATTTTATAAATCGGTCTGGCAACCCTGGCATAATCTGGCATAACTAGATTTCTTAAAGAAAATTAGAACTAGATGAAGAAGCAGAGAATGGCAGAGAAGAAGAGGTAAACTTTAACAATGTTTTAACCTCAATCGTATTTTTATTATTCTAAGAATTTCTAGAAGGAAGATTAAAAAACTGTATTATTTGTTTAGTATAAGAAATAATAAAACAGGCATAACATCAACCCGCAATAATGTTTGGGTTAATAGTATCTGGACGACTAGTAAGAATTTTAAATTTTATTGTTTTTTTTTCAATTAGTAATTATATTGTTTTTAGGTCCAAACCGAGTTTCAACAAATTAGTGAAACACAATTGGTAACTACAATCCCAGATGCAGATAATATTAATCATATTGTTGTATTTTTAACGGGAGTTGTTCCTTTTCCTGAAGGAATGGCTGGACAAGGTATCTATATTTTCTATTTCCATTCCAAGTTTGAATATCTTACTATTTAAATTATTTTATTATTTTGAAATATTAACTGGTAATATACTTCAGAACATGAAAAATGTAAAGTCATTGTTTTATAGTAGATTACACCACTGGTCAATAATGATAGCTGTTATTTCTGAGGATTATTTTTGAACCCAGCGGTGAAATAGTATTATTCTGACTTCTGAGGGAATAATAGTTATGGTTGCGAGTAATATACTCTACTTTTTCCATGGCTTATTTGATAATTTCAGATTTTTAATGAACAACTTTACTTGTCAATTACAATTAACACATTCATGTCCTCCCTACACAACTAAATGATTCAGACTAGCCACACAAATTAATAGACAGTTGGCTCAGGTACACACAGAAATTCCTATAGGGTGGTCTCAGCAGTTTTACTAAAATCAGGATAACTTCATAGGGCAGTGGTGGAGTTAAACGAGTTAGTAAATTAAATTGTTTGTGAATGATCATTAATGAAAAAGTATTAGTAATAGTTTAATAAAAGAGTGCAAGTTTTATGAACCTTAAATTTAAATCAATGAATTCTGCTGTAGTTATGTTGTTCCTCATAGATTAATCAATGTATTCTTCAGTTACTTAAGTAGATCTCCAATCCCCCAACCTCCATGATGCTTTAATCAAGGTTTTGAATTTAGAAGAATTGAAGAATAAATTAATTTTTACATGGAAGGGTCAGAGATTGATATACTTTTTAACAATAATGTAAAACATACTATTTATGATGAATTTTTCTACAATTTTGGTTTTAGTCAATGTCATGGTGTATTCTCATCATACATTTTATCATTGAGTAGTGCATTTTTGGTTATAAATGGCTTTTGAGTATGTTTCTAGTATTAAGGTAAATGTTGCTGCAACAAATTCTACAATTTCTGGCATTTTAGAAGTAAAACTTTCTTAATTTTCCTCCATCTCAATCATGATATTCGCTCCATCCGTGACCATGGTAGGGGTACCTTAAGACTATACCAGCATGCATAGCGGCCAAATATGACAAAATTGGACCTACCTTTTTGCACATAAATCTTATCAAAAATGGGTGCAAATACATCTTTACATATTCAATTATGCTAATAATAGTAAAAATAGTGTACTTTTTATAGGTTTCCAAACATTACATATAAATTAGAGAAAAGAAAAGATGGATTCATGCTATTAATATGAAAAAATAAATATCACATAATTTAGTTTTTATGCAATTGAAATAGGAAAAATTTAAATAATTTGCCCAATATGATATTTCATAAGGCTTCAAGCTAACTGCAGCCTGCCTGATGACTTAAGTTTTTAGATTATAACTTTTACTATTATTGTTTTTAATTACATGCTCTTCCACATAAAAAAACTGATTTTCCAGTACTAGATTTTTTCCTTTCTTTTTTGCTGTTTTGGCTGAAAAGATAAAGTGTGATGAATTTTTAGAAACCCAGTTTTTAATTCTTTATTTTGTACATAAACTGAAAAAATATAATTAAAAAACTAATTATTAATAATTGTCAATTTCATATGTATTTAACATATGTTTATGTTAATAAGACATAAACATATGTGTTTATGTCCTAAACAACAACTAATTTCTTTGTTTACTGAAAAATTGGAGTTTGTTGTCATGGTAATTTTTAATTTGAGAATATTTTGTTATTGTAGTGCAGTAGGAATAAAGACCATTATTCAAGTACTTAATAGTTGAATTACAGAACAAAGTAATAACAACGTTATTACCTTACCTAAGTTGTTTACATTAAGTGCATGTTTTAGTTTAATATTGACTAAAAAGCCAAACAATGTTGTTCAATTAACAAATAATTAATTTATAAATAGGAAAATAAAAATAATTTGTAATGAATAATTTCAATGAATCAAAGATATTTAATTTAACATTCTATTATTTGTAAAATCTAGGTTAATGTTTTATTATATACAAAATCATATTTAAATAAGTTTTAAATAACTTACTATATAATAAATAATTATATCTTTATTATTTTTAGTTTATTTCAGCTGGCCTGATCCCACTGCCCCTCCCAACTGGATTCCACTTGGATATATCTCAAATCAAAAACCATCAGCAATATTTAAATTGTCTGGTATAAAGAGACTGCATGAAATGGGAGATTATTCAAATATGATGTTCGGAATGAGTCACATTGTGCATAATGCACAAATTGGAATATCTATAGGTGAGATAGGAGTTAGGCTAAGATATGATCAGTATTTTTGTGTGAAAGATAAATCACATCCAATCCTAAATAAGGTCATAGAATTTATAAATGTAACAATGTCTGTGCTCTATATTAATTCATCCAGCTTGAGGTTTAGTTTAATTCTCCATGAATTGGTTGGAAATATATTTCTTAATCTTTTGTGCTCAAATATTCTCAATAACACTCAATTCTTCAGTGGTTGAGAGTTCATATTTCACATCCATAAGTAACTACTCAATCGATCAAGTAAAAACATTTAAATACTTGGGAATGATGATGAATGACCAATGGGATCCTCAACAAGAAATAAAATTCCGTACTGAACAAGCAAGACAAGCTTTTATCAAATTTAAACTGCTACTATGTAACTGCAATCTTTCCTTCAATCTCTGCTACAGGATGGTTAAATGCTATGTATGGTCTATATTGTTATACAGCATGGAAACATGGACGTTAAGAGTACCTTCCATTAATAAGCTGGACTCCTTCAATATGTGGACTCTGCGAAGAATGTTCCGCATACCATGGACAGATAAGGTGAGAAACGAGGAAGTCTTAAGAAAGGCAAATACTGGGAGAGAACTACTCAATTTAATCAAGGTACGAAAAATTGGATACCTCAGCCATATTCTGAGAGGAAAAAAATATGCAATCCCTCAACTAATTATCCAGGGAAAGATTGAAGGCAAGAGAGGGGTAGGTCACAAACAAATGTCATGGCTACAGAACATAAAAAACTGGACAGGCATAAATAACACTGCAGATCTTTTGCATGCTGCAAAAGGCAGACATCTAATATTAAGATAATTCGCCAATGCACTATAGGTGCACGGCACTATAAGAAGAAGAAGTGACTACTGGTCTAGTAACTGTTTTGTAGATTATTAGCTTAAATTCATGATTTAGCAATTTACTTAAATATAAAAGCACTTATTACTGCCAAGAATTTTCTTGTAGAACATAGTCCTGTTTATTCTATTATTCCAGCTCTTATGATGTTGACGTTTAACTGTCAGGCAACTAGATCAATTCTTATTGTATATTAATTCACTTCATAGTCATATTGAATTTACAATAAAAACAGAACAGGATCAATCCATAAATTTTCTAGAGTTAAAAATTATCAGACTTAAAAACAAACATGAGTTTTCTGTATTTCATAAACCTACCCTTACTACCATGACTATACAGAATTGATCATCCCATCCTACACAACATAAACTGCCAGCCTACCATATCATGTTACATGCTATGTAACCATGACAAAAAAACTGAGAGATATAATTAATATCATTAAGCAAATAGCAGTAAACAATGGGAACAATGAACAAACAATAAATAAAATTTTAAATCAAAAACTACATAAAGACCTGAAATTAGTATTTCCATCACCCGAGAAAAACCCAGTAAGATATCAACAAAAATAGTCAAAAACATAAAAAAGAAACGAATAATACCAGCTTTTAGAACAAATAACAACTTGGGCAAATATATTAAGAACAAGATCCAAAAGAAAAAGCACTTATACTCCATTCCACAAATATACGACTGTTTTAAATTCGCTTTAAGCTCTCGACTTAAATGGTCCAATGTGCTGCATTGTACAATAGTAAATTCTCCCCATTTTTAAAATACTGTTATGGCAGATATAAACCTTAGATTTAAATATGAAGTCATGATATAAATATAGAGTTGATAGTTTATATAATAGTTGTAATTCAGAATTTAAATTATATAATTACTATCATTGAGTTTAGTATTTTAAACAAGTTGGTGTTTTAATTAAGTGATTTAAACGAAGTGTAACAATACTTAACCCTTTCGCTCATGGTGTACAGTATATTGTACATCACTTTACCGATATCAAAATGACGTGACCTGATGCTTCTATCCGCTTTATTCACAATGTACATTATAATGTATACATATTAGTTTTAATTTCAAACAGTTGCTTTCATATAGCGTTGATTAGTTTAAAGTGAAAAAAAAATTAAATTCAAGGAAGTGAGTTGCTGTGACGGTTACTTCAGTGTCTGGATGTAAGGTGGCTTTTAATAATTTACAGATTGGTTGGAAATGTCCGATATATTTTTGTTGATGACTAGAAACACTTGTATTTGCTGCATTTACGGTCCACTTTCTGATAAGTTTGTTTGTTTTTTCTATATTTGGGTAAACATTAGTGTACAGTATACTGTACAGTGTGAACATACAGAGGTCGACAAAACCAGACATTATTTACAGTTGTTTATACTTCATTTATTTTGCAGTATTAAATACATATAAAAATGAGTAAAAGAAAGCCGTTAAATGAAAAACAACTAATGGAGCTAATTGAGGCCGGCCTATTAGATATTGACGGGCTTAGTGATGATGACAATGACGATTATGGTTGGGGAGATAGGGAGCAAGAAGTTAGCAGTGATGATGATAATGAGTTGAATGAAAGCTAATTTAATTTTAAATCTAATTTTATGGGTATAGGAAAAGAAGATGAATGTAAAAGGTGGGACAAAAATAAGAAACAATATATTTATGTCAAACGACCTGAAGTAATTAGAAAATATAAACAACATATGGGCGGCGTTGATAAATGCAACTTTTTGATTACTTTATACAGAACCTTTATTCGTTCCAGGAAGTGGACACTTCGTATGTTTACACATAGTATCGATATCACATGTTCTAATGCCTGGCTGGAATACAGGCAAAAGGCGATTGCTTTAGGTATTCCGGACAAGCAAATATTGGATTTGGTTCATTTTAGGGCATATGTCGCTGAAGTTTTGATAAAATCAGACAAAGTATCCTCCAGAAAACGGGGACGTCCTTTGGATACAAGAGAATCGACGTCATCTCCGTCACAGAAAAAACAAAAAACCAACTAGACCAGCAGCAGAAGTAAGGCTGGATGGATTTGATCATTTGCCAATTATAGATGACAAATCCTTTTCTTCTAGGTGCAAGTTCCCTAAATGTGGTTCTAGAACCAATTATTTCGTATGTCAAAAGTGCAATATACACTTATGTATTTCAATAAAACAAAATTGTTTTATGTTATATCATACAAATAAATAATTAGTTGCAGATATATGATTTTTAATTGTATTTTGTTTTAGAAAGTCGCAAGAGCTACTACAATTTACTCACAATGTGCAATATATTGTACAGGTCGTATACACCGTTTGTTCACAATGTACAATATACTGTACAATTTACATCCCTTAAAAGGGGTAACAGGGAATTATTTTGAGTAGGCCAAAAATGTTATAAAAATTAAAAGAATATGCCTACCAAATTTCAAATTTTTATCTTAAAAAACAAAAATGTATGAGCGAAAGGGTTAAGTGATTAAATAGTGTACTTTATTTAGTTCAATATTCAATTAGTATTAAAAAAACAAAAAAACATACTTATTCTCTTATTCACCTAATCTCCTAAAACTATTATCAACCATCAGATTCACAGCCATAATCACTGTCGTCGCTATCCTCATTTGGATGGTAAATTATAATAGGATTAACTGCTTCGATGCGACCTTTACAGATCCACCATTTTTTAATTAAGTCTTCACATTTTTTTACACTTTTTCCCCAAATTTCAGGAATGGCAATATCCAATGCTTGTTGCCATGTTTCCAAGACTGCCTCGTCACTGTAACCCTTGTATCCAATATGGTTATCATAATATGTTTTGCAGATCCCCCAAATATATTCAATTGGATTGAATTGGCAATGATAGGGTGGTAGTCTTAACACACGATGTCCAAAGCTATGTATAATTTCGTCATATATATATATATATATATATATATATATATATATATATATATATATATAATATATATATATAATATATATATATAATATATATATATATATATATATATATATATATATATAATATATATATAATATATATATATATATATATATATATATATATATATATATATATATATATATATATATATATATCTTTTAGCTAACGTTAGTAATTGAGGCTTAAAACAGTATTGAGGAAATGTAATAGTTTTATTCGTTAACCATTCTTTTTTTTATCTACAGTCCAGGTGTTTGTTGGTTGCTTATTTAAAATTTCCGAATGATACGCAGCATTATCCAGTACTATAACGGATGGTTCATGTAAACTTGGCAACAGTTTTTCTTTCAACTATTTAACAAACATATCCGTATTCATATTGTCATGATAATCGGCTGATTTTGATTTTGATGAAAACACAAGATCTGCTCCCTCAACTTAAAGCCAATCTGTCTTAAAACTCTCCAGAGACTTGTTCTGGAAATTTCAAATATATTTCTGTCTTTTAATTTTTGTAGCACTGAAACTAAAGAAACATGTTCTTTCTTTTCGCGCATTTTATATATTGTCTCACGGATTTCAAATTTGCAACCTTCAGGAAGATCTATAGTCTTTGGTTGTCGGCGAGATTTATATTGTGCGACATTTTGTTCACTTTGTCCACTTTTTTTTCCTTTTTGCAAAACCGACTTTAGTTTTGTTTCACTAATACAGAGTGCATCACACACACACACACGTTTATGTACGGACTGAACAGGTCGAAAAGGGCCCCCGTTGGTTTTCTCAGCAGTAAAATAAGAAAGTACATTAAATATAAACTTGTCTACATCTAAAACACGTCTCGGCATTTTTGGCTTCAATAAACAAATGCACTACACTAAACTCTATCTTAACGGACACCTCTCTTCACTGGAAACCTCTATACGGACGGTTTTTAAAACTAAAATCAGTCGGCGATATATGAAACTGTTCTTTTCATTTATAATAAAAATAGTATATTTATTTTTATTACAGTTCTAGTACCTAATAAAGTAATAAAATATAATATTAAAGAAACCCGGCACGCCTCTTTGCATTTATTTACAAATGTTTACATGTCAAACGTACTTTGTTTACATTTCACCGAAATCCAACCCAAATGTCTGATGAAGACATTTTCGTAAAAATGAGCGTTTGCGTAAAAATTTTTGTTATTTTCGGATTAAATTTCACAATAAATTTTGCGTCTATTTGTACATCTATTAACTGAAATGATTTTAGTTCAGATGTAATACTAACAGATGCTTTTTATTGGAATAATCATTAGACCAATTTACTTTCATACTTCTACTTGCACAGTAAAATATTCGTTGTCGCAATAATCCCAAACAGTCGTATATTCGTGGAATAACCTGTACACAGTGGTGTATACAAACTTAAATGTGGCAACTGCCCAAAAACTTATATCAGTCAAACTGCTAGAATTTTTAACAAATGTATAGCAGAACATAAAAAGGCTTTGAATAATATAAAAACAGATACTATGTGCAAACTTCATCTTATAAACCATAATCATTCTTTTAATGACGAATTTCAAATTCTTCATAATCAACATAATGGCCTTGAGCCCAGCTGTTCCCAACTTTTTTTAGCTTGAGACACATTAACTTAAAAACTCGTTCAGCCACGGCACACTTGGATAAATAATCTCTATAATGAGTATAATCATAATGTATTGTTATGTGATTTTTTTACTGTTACTTTCTTTAAAAATACCATTTAAAACATGTCATTGAGTTAATGCTCATTATGGAAACTAATTAGGAAAATTAAGAAAACAAAATTTTAATACACCTATAAACATATATTTTGTGTTAAAAGAGATGAGTTAATAATAAAAAATAATGGAGTAAATGGAGTGGATAAATGGAGTTCATTATTAAATCCTTTCTAGGATGTATTGTAGATAAGCACACCCTCAAGTCGTCCTCTAAAGATTTTAGCTGTGAATGATTTTTGTTCTTGATGGGGTTCATTGACTAGAAAGCAGATTCACAGATATAAGAAGGTGAAAATGGTATTATTACATTCATAGCTTTCTTTGTGACCAGTGTATTCATTGAAGAGGGGAATCCAAAATGATGCAAAATCTTAACTTTGATTTTCTTAAGTTTTGACTGAGCCCCTGCTTCTTCAACTAGTTTACTGTACTTAAGTTTAAGTCCACGGTCGTTTTTTATATCTATTAGTGCACTCTCTTCATCAGTAGTGAACAAGACCCTGTCATAAGCTGATTCGATGTATGGATTTCACACCCAGTCCATTCAGCTGACTAAGACTTTTCAAAAAAGGGTCTGACAGATTTGGTTCTACATTGCAATTGTTTGTTAACTGAGGCTTGATTTTCAACTTTCTTTATCCACAGTAAAAGCTTTTGCTGGAAGGAACTGATTTTATCAGTAGAGGTGAGGATATTTTTTTGCTTGCCCTGCATGTCCTTATTATTTAACACAATTTCCCAAAAATATATGCCAAAAACGCAACTTTGGTGCACCAGGTGTCATCACTAAGGAAATTGGTATATTCAGACTGTTCACAAGTAAAAAATACTAAAAGCTTCTCTTTAAGCTCATAGAATCTTTGAAGGACACGTCCGCGAGATAACCATCTTACGTCTGTATTCAACAGTAGCTGCGTATGCTCAGAATCTATAGCAGAACACAAACTGTTAAATAATCTCGCTTTTAAAGGCCTACTTTTGATGTAGTTCACCATTTTGACAACATTTGCAAAATGTCATTCAGTTCATGCTTCAATGATTTAGCAACAAGGGCTTCTCTGTGTTAAAATAATATCTGAATTTTCCTTTTGGACTAAAGCCAAAAACCCTGTTAAGTGTCCTACCATCGCAGGGCAACTGTCTGTGCAAACACTCAAACAAGACAGTCAAGACAAACCAGCAGTGATAAAATAACTGTTCACTAATTGAAAAATATCTAGTCCTGTTTTATTTTGAGGGAGGTCTTAACAAAATAAAAACTGTTCAATTACGTTAGATTCGCAGATAAATCAAACGAATACAATAACCTGAGGTTTCCCACTTATATCTGTGGATTCGTCTACTTAAAGTGCAAAAAAAATCAGCTGTGTTGAGTTTTTCATTTATTTGGATTTCAAAATCCTTAGACATGTCCTCGTTACGCCTTTTAATCGTATTATTAGATAATAGTATTTTTAACCTTTTTCACATTCTTCATCAAATATAATTTTTACAATTCACTTGCATGCTGGCAAAATAGTCGTCTGGGCAGTTGTATGGGATTTCATATTTTTTACAATCAACGCAGCCACAGCGTAACTGTCTTCTTGTACCTTATCCGACACAGATGAAAGTTTTTTAAAAGTGGACGCCTGAGTAGACTGATTTGACAAAAGCCTTTTAAAATATTCAATAGGTTTTTCAGTCGCAAATGCATGCTTTGTGAGTAGGTGTCTTTTTGACTTACTCGGCACCATGGCTTCGTTGGACAGCTGTTCGCCACAAATCAAGCAACGAGATTTAGGCTGTTCACCACCAGATGAAGTGAAACTGAACGATAAATAGTGTTCATGATAATGACAAACAATTATATATACACTCCGAAATGTTTTCATTGTCAGTCAAATGTTCATTTCGTTCACTTGAACTGGTACTGTCACTAGCACTAGGTAATTTACTCCTAATTAGAAATCGATCGATTTTAAAAGCGATCATTATCCTAACTCTGACTACAACATACAAAGAAATTCAATCATACGAAACTTGATAGTTTGACGTTTGACCAACGACTGTCTGTGTGAGATGTGAGTTTTTACGATCAACAGTGACTGTGCGCAACAAAAGTTGCCTAACCTGCGATCAGAGCCCTCTATTAGAGAAATTTATAACTAAAGGAATTTTAATAAAGGAATAAAATTAAACCATTTTATTTTTTTTGCGAGGTTAGGTCCAAGAAATTTTGACATTGTAAAAATAATATTTTGACATAATTTTAATTCTGTTGTCTTATGTATCGAGTTGAAGGTCAACAATGGTGTTGGAAAACATCGATGTTGTATTGCCATCGATGGTACGGTTCCGATCTTTAATCGATGGTCACCATCGATGTTTTTCCGACTTTGCTCATCTCTAAATGTGAGTGTCTTCAACGCTATCGCCACAAGCGGTAATATGTTGAACTAACGCACGTCTGCATATGATACTGCTGCTACCGCATTCTGTTGGTCGAATGTTAAACTATTGAAACAGCAAGCGCAGAACAAGTTATTCAATGAAAAATGGTCGGTAAAAGTTATTATCACGGCGAATTAAAATAATAAATACTAAATGAAATGAGGTTAAATGCTCGAATAAATGAACTTTGAAAATAAGGCTATTATCGAGCACAAGTTAATTAAATCTAGCCCAAGTACTTTCGCTTAAAATAGCATCTTCAGGGGCATTTCGTCAAAATGTGAACTATCCGGCAAGCGTAGAATGTGGAAACATTAAAAATAACATACATTGTACAAAACACTACACTAAAACGAGGACAAACAGTTTAAAATTACTTCTACGCTACATTCTCTGTCAGTATCTGGAGGGATAATTTATCCAGATACTGACAGAGAATGTAGCGTAGAAGTAATTTTAAACTGTTTGTCCTCGTTTTAGTGTAGTGTTTTGTACAATTTATGTTATTTTTAATGTTTCCACATTCTACGCTTGCCGGATAGTTCAGATTTTGACGAAATGCCCCTGAAGATGCTATTTTAAGCGAAAGTACTTGGGCTAGATTTAATTAACTTGTGCTCGATAATAGCCTTATTTTCAAAGTTAATAAATACTAGTAAAAAAGACGGTAAAATTTCGCGGCACGCCTACAGGGACTTCAGGGCACACCAGTGTGCCGCGGCAGACTCGTTGGAAATCTCTGCCTTAAGCTATCTTTATTAGATTTTATACAAATTAATAAATTAAAAAGTACAGACATAATTCTGAATGACCAACTTAAGATGATCAGGTATCCCCTTCTCAACTTCAGTTAATATAAGTGTAAACGCATACCAAAATAGATCTCTTTAGGAAGGCACTCTGTCGAAACAGCTGTATTGATGAAAAATTATATTAAGTTTTGAAAACTAAAGTTTTCAGTGTAATTATATTATTGAACTAAGTTACTAATTGAAGGATCTTAATTATTAATAAAAAATACTTTATATTTTTCAGAGCCTATAACAAACGTTCATGACATACCATCTCCGAATAATTTAGAATCTAATGTTACATTCGCCCAAAAGATGTTAGAAAATTTTATGAATTATATTCTTAGTTACACAGTCAATCAAGGTAATATGGTGCCAGATCCAACTGTAACATATGTTCCACTTTCTACTGTGCAGAACTGGTATGTGAATTTTGAACGAAGACTGCAACAAAATCCAAATTTTTGGAAGTAATTTCAACTATGTGTGCTTTTTATATTATTTTTTGTTTTTTATTTGTGCAAGTAAGAATAAAAGAGATTTAAATTTTTTAAGTAATTTAGTGTTTTTATATGTGTAGGTACCCAGTTAGTATATACTTGTGTCATATATAAAAGCTAATTTTTTTTTGAAAGAAGGTTCTGACATTTTGACCCTGAGGTTGGCACGTTTCTTGGTTGAACGTCAGTGATGTGCAAATTCTATGAAATCCAAGTTTTGTAAACTCTAAACTTTTTGAACATCTACAGTTCTTCTTCCTTGTAAAATGAAATCTGAAGCAGTTTCTCTAAAAAATATATACATTATTTAAAAGCATATTGAAAAGTTTACTGCACTTAAAATACATTTTATAATTGATAAAAAAAACTTATGTAGTAGCTGAATATTCCTTTATTATGTTCTCCTCGGTAGATTTTTCGAAATTACGGGATTGGTTATTATAGAAAAATCGTATAATTTAATGTTAAAAAATTAAAAGTATGGCTTACGTAATAATTATCTCTGGTACTACTTAAGCTGCCTCTCCAATAGTGATAAAAAAATTAATGGTGTTACTTACTTAGTAACTACAGTTTCCCCTCCTAACTCTTCACTCATTTCTGGATAACTAGTGGATCGTCTGCAATAGTCAAATTAAATAATTACTTAAATAAGCGGTAAAAACGATGACTTACTTATTTAATATGTTTTATTGGTTTTCTTATCATTCAAATATTTCGAATATGCATTTTGAGAAATATATCGCTGTATATGATAATAAACGTGTACGATCGAGGCTATACAGGCACGCGGCGCTTAGAGATATTTGTTTAAATTTAAAACTGTATTTTTAACAAGATAAAAACCACTTATCTTTATCAAAATATTCTTGCTTATACATGAAGGTATTAAGATTATAAAGCTTTTTGTATATAGAATTGTAATTAATTTAGTAGTCTTTTAGAAAAAAATCCCAAAAATTACTAAGGCATCTTTTTCAACAAAAAATTGCAAAAAAACTCGAAAAGGAAGCATTTTTCGAAAAATTAAGAAAAGATAAAAAGTATTTACTTGGATGAGGTACGTCTAAAAAATAATAATAAAAACAATTTCTGGCCCACTTGGAAAAATAAAAAAATACATTTGAACTTGAAAAAATATATAGAAACAAATGAAATGAATAAAAAGGTTTGGTACGGTGGAAATGAAAAAAAAATCGGTATATTCCGTTTGTTTCTAAGCGACTTTTTAGGGGTAAACCGCTCGCCTATTAGTAAATAGCATACAAAATAATAAATAGGGTATTAACATGTAGACCATCTACTACAATGCTATCAGTGATAACCACAAACATACAATCCACAAAAACCCAACAAATAGTTTATTTCTTTAAACGAAAATAAAATTTAATGTCAAAATTCTTGATTTATCGATCGATTTATAGACCCTATTTTCATTATGTATTTAAAATTAATTTTAAAAATACAAAAGTAATTAATTTGATTTACGTAAAAAAGTACTTAGGTCAATTGAGCCTATTTGAGTCTATTTCTTTGTTTTACACTGAAACATTTCTTGTAACAGAGTCCCATATTTTAATTTATGCAAATAAAGGAATAAATAAAGTCTATAAATTAATTGAGCAATAACTATACCACGCACTCCTTCATAGATATGCCCGTGCTAAGTCGATTCTGGATAAACTAGATAACGACAGTGTTAAAGTTTCCATACCAGTGAGAATTTTACTACACGTAATTTCCCGTGTAAGGAAAGAAAAATTCAGTTCTTTGTAATCATAGGTCTAAAATACTGCGAAAAATTAGTAGGAATTAGCTCAATTATAAAAGCTTCCTTACTGAACATACGCCAGTCAAGTTACACCTGAATACAAAGGCTGCATATCTTGGTATTTGTGTCGAATGACTCCAAGTATGGTACCCATTAGACCTGTACAAGCTGCTACGGGGCTGCATAATCAGAGAATGAGTATCAGAGGTGAATGAAGGATGAAAAGAAAACGTTTAGCAGAAATTGGTAAATTATAAATTATTTTATAGATAAAACCATCTAGTCCGACAATTCATATTCGTGATCCTGATAAAGAATATTTTTGTTGTTAGATTCAAGAAACTTCCAAATATCCGTCAATGGTATATTTTTGTTAAGTTTATTTAGAACGTTTATCTAAATAAAGCAGATTACTAACCCCGATATCTTAAGTGTTCAATACCGGTTGTTCTTGGTATTCAAAAAGATCCTTATTTCCTATGGCTAACGGTGTAGAACAGACAGCTTCCAGACAAGAAAAAACATGGACTAATAAGTATTATACGATTGGAAAAAGATAAACTTTGCGTATTATCTGCAATAAAGGGCACAAACAGCACTTGAAGACTTCGGCATAAGACGTATCATATAACGCTACGATATGTGCCGTTTTCCACGTTTCAGGTACTTCGGATTTCAACCAACATTGATTTCTCAGGTATACCATATATCAGTGGTTCCCAAAGTTTTTTAGTTCGCGGCGCACTTAATAAACTAGAATTTTTCCGCGGCGCCCTGAGTCAAAATATTGATTTAACGTCTAACTTTAACTGTAGTTAATACGGTTTCTGTTGCATAAATGAGCTTGTTCTTATTCAGTACACAACTTTTCAAATCTCGGAATCAAACTGGACACAGCTACCCTCATTTCTTGTTCCACGTTAATTTTCGCACGGTATTTACTTTTTATTACAGCGACCGCCGAAAACCCAGCTTCGCACAAATAGGATGTTGCAAATGGAATTAAGATGCGCAGAGCTTTACCACTTAGCAGCGGATATTCATCTTTTACCTATATCTAAAAATCAGTTAGTTCCGTGCAGCCAAACTTTGTCTTCAACGTATTGTCTCAAGCCAAATCAATGAGATTTGCTTGTTCTAAAGAAGTAAATTCAGAAGGAGCTTCCGCTCTAAATGAATCTTGAATCCATGCAAATTGGTCGATATTATCAGCTTGAAAGTATTTTTCGAACCATTTGATAAGCTCTGATAAGTGATCCGCAAAAATAAATTTATTATTACAAGAGATATTAACTTCATTGGAGATAATAAACTCATGCAACAAGGGACAACAATCATTGATATTATTATCATTAATTTTTCTCTTCCATACTTCTAATTTTTTTCTGAAAGCTGAAATCTTCTCCGCCAATTTTAAAATGTGCGTGTTGCGGCCTTGCAGGAAGAGATTCAACGCATTTAACTTTTCAAAGATATCACATAAGTATGCTAGTTGAATCAAAAAATCCGTTTCTACAAAGTACTTGGCATACACATTTCTGGCATGTACATTTCTTTTCCATTTTTACAGCAACTTTTGTACACAAGTAGGTGAAACAACCCTGTTTATATTCACACTGATAAACGAAACGATGCGAACAGTATGAAACTACAAATTCAACTAACTAAAATTTAAATAAGTAAAAATTTATAGTTTTAAAATGTGCACGTGCAAAGAGACGATTGAATTTGTCCACCGGCAGTGATTTATGGCCTGTCGGTCCGAAGTCAATTTACAGTAGTGACAGAATTGTTTCGTGGAATTTAAAATATTGAGGATATATTGTCGGCATCAAATAAAATTACTAATAACTGAACTCGTTTATCATGGGAAACATTTTTATATAGGTATATTTTAAAAGTTAAAAACTTGTCATAACAACTTTAGTTTAATGTTTATTTAATACTTGAAGGTAATTATGTGATTATGTCTAATATTGGAAGAAAACTTTCGCGGCGCCCCTGTAGTCGAACCACGGCGCCGCGGCGCACAGTTTGGGAAGCACTGCCATATATCTCACCTATGATTGGCCGAGCCAGAGCCGACCTGTCGGTATGGTATCGAGTTTGGGTTAAACGGTATCGTTGAGCCCTTTCATGTCGTCTATTTTCAATAGTCGGGACGTTAGAAGCTTTCGATTGTTGTTTTGACTGCTGTTTCCGCTTCCTGGAACTCACAGTAACAAACTCTGATATACTCATTTAAAATAGACGTGATGCCGTCACGATGTCGCTCAGCATTCGTGTATTGGGTATACCTATATATCTGCTTTTCTGTTTCCGACCATCCGTTCTTGCTATTCATATAATCATTTATGTAAGAGGCAATCGTCTAACAGACTCATTAACTTCGGGGTTCTGCACATCAGCGGACAGTGTGCAGTCACCGTGTTGATCCGCGTTATTAAGCCCGGGGTTCAAGAGGGTGTCCGATTCACCCTGAGCTGATGTTCTCACCGGCGAGGTTTCTCCTTCCGAAGAGGCATAGTTCGCGAAAGTTAGAAGGTCCAACGATGGGACTCAGTGACTGCTTCCTTCGTCGCTCTTCCTCCTTGAGACTTTCGAGGAATTCCTTGTATTCAGGCTTGACCCGAGCACGCCGAATTTGCTCCTTAGTATTATCAGGAAATAACTTCATCAAATTCTTAAGGATAAATCGGTCCTTGTACGGAAATTCCTCCTGTCCCATCCGAATGAGATCCTCGTCGGTGAATCTCACCAGCCTACCGGGATTCTCGTACTTCCACTCGAGCTCCCCGTTTAACGCATCAGGATGAGCACGGCTCCTGTGTTGACACACTCCAGTATAATACTTTAATGCGCGCTCACAAATGCCGAAGATGTTGACGCCATCTCGTCTGGGTCCTAGCTTAGCCTCCGTATGCGAGTGTCCATACCGGCCTGCATGGAGAAGTTGGTACCGAAGACACAGATGACCCTCTCATTCGATGGCTTAGATAATTTGGGATCTACGCTATTTTTAAACCTAATCTTCGAGGAATCTGGAAGGGTGTTCAGCCTTAAAGGAGTTCGAAAACCCGACTGGATAGTAACTGCACTAGTGCGCGGAGTCAAGGATCCCACAGGGACCGGACAGAGCTTGAATATGGCGCACACTACCAATCGGAACACCATGTACAATGAGCAATCACTATTCGCCAAATCAGAGTAGGGGCTCTAAAAAGTGCTCCTATTTCTGATCCAACGAATATGGATTCCCAGCTCTTAAAACATTTTTGAAGATTTTTGGAATTCTTTGTTTCCTTTGTTTTAATGGGGTTTGTGACTCTCAAGTTATAATGGGAAAAAAAAGTTAATTTTTATGAAAGTCTACAAAGCAATTAGAATTAGGCGTAAAACACAAATTTACATTACATTTTTCACATATTACTTTGGTTTGTTTTTTATACACATTTTTAGACTTTTTCTTTGAAAGGAATAACTTGTTCATACACTGATCGTTTTTCTGTCATTGGAATTTTCCGAAAATTTGTTAAAACTGGTTCTTAAAGCGGTTTGATTTTCTATAACTTATCTCCGGGAATTATCTGACTAATGTCATTGAAGTAAATATTGTTTTTATTTGTTCCCAGCGATTCTGACTCAAAATTTCTGCAACAACTGAAATTCGAATAGACGCTTTCCAGTACATTCTAGTTGAGGGTAAACTATACACTGACATGAACAAACATACATCGAAAAACTGTTCTATTAAGTTCTTGTTCACATTTAAAGTATTTGGTGTTCTTTTGGATAGAATACAGATTTGCTTGATAAAAAATATTCTCCAAAATATTGTGATCTGTCAGCGTTCCAAAATACTTGATTGGAGTATACGGGTTTTCAGGTCTTGGCGGTAAACTACCTTTCCAATGTTGAATTGGGTGTGCAGAACGTTTAGTAATGCGTTTCCATGCGATATTCTGATGATTGGGCACGTCATTTTCGTCGTCATTGTCATTTTTTTTTCATTATCATCTTCCTGGTTCTGATTATTGTCAGCCATATCTTCCACGTTCACTTCTTGCGAACAAACATTTTCCTGAAATATCCTGAATATATATCACTTCATCATCGTCACTGTCGGATTCTAGAATGAAATCTTCAGTCATATCCACGGATGTCTCTAATTTGAACCATATTTAGTTCTTTCGTTCCATAAAATTATTTTACATTTCTGTTAGAGCCAGCAAAAAAATATGCTATACATTATGGACTATTGTAACATTAAAGTCACACAACATTTTTTACTAACAAAATACCTAATATTTTATTACCAGAGCATATATTTGCTACAATAAGAATCAGAATGTACTTACTTTTAGTTTTTAAGTACTTGTACTTGAAATTGTGATCAAAGTCACCTATTTCAACGCTGCAACACTACTAACGACAACTGCTAGAACCTATGCATAAAATAGGATCTTGTGTATGATTTAAATGTTCTGTGGTAGACAGTTTACGGAAAGATCAGGTTTAGAAAGTATTTTACGACTCTTATTCAATATGTAACTTAGGAGATACAAGGGGCAACAAGACCTCTATATTTTAGAACTTTCATGTTTATTTGGTCTGCTCCTGTTGCTTTTCTATTTTTTTTTATGTTATAATCGCCCCATCTTGCATTGTTATAATGTAATTTTGTATGTCGCTTATTTTTCTCTCTTCTTCTACATAACTACTAAGTTATACCACAAATTTTCATATGTGTCATTTTAATAGGGGAGCAGGTTTTGTTCACGTGTAATTATTTGGATATTATTTTTTTGACCGAGAATAGATTACAGTCATAGACGTTCTTGTAAGTCTAGGCACTTAAAGACGTCAGTATATAAATAGATAATAAATAATAAAATAGATAATAGAATAATAGATAATAAAATCCAAGAAATAAATAGGAATAAAAAAACTAAGAGTATTTATTTATTAAAATAGGAATTATAAACTTCATGTTACATATTTTTATTTAGTTTTGCCACAATCTTAAAACTTTATCTTTTCCACCTGAAGCAACTTTTAGTCCATCTGTAGACCAATCAACAGCATATACTTCATCAGCATGACCAGGAAGATCGACTTCTAGTTTCTTGGTTGTCAGGTTCCATAATTTTAAAGTGGAATCGGCACTACCGCTGACCATAAGCCTTGAATCGGCAGAAAATGATACCATGTACACAGCCTGAACATGCCCACGTAGGGTACAAATAAACTTTCCTGTTTTTGCCTCCCACAATTTTATTGATTTATCAAAAGATGCTGAAGCTAATATTCTTCCATCAGGTGAAAATTTCACGTCATTAACTAATTGTTGGTGACCTAAAATATGAATTTTTTATTAGAATTTTATAGTACACCTATCTTGTAGGTCAACCATCAAAGACCAGTAGAGTCAAAAACATGGTGATTTATTATGCATAGAAAAACGCTAGACGAATTAAAAAATTTCAATTTTTGAAGTAATAACAAAATAATTGACGCGCAACATTTCCTTTTTTTAATTTCTCTTAATTATTAATAATTATATTAATTCCATTTTATATATTAATGTTTCCATTTTCCTTATAACCTTCGTCTGTGTGAAAACAGGTCAATATTTCAAAATATGAGATGATGACCTCTTCCAAATTATATCCTCTACCAAACAAATTAGTTTTATTCCTGTACATATGTTGTCTTATTAAAATCCGAATCTTCAGAATTTATTTTTCCATGGGTCTTTGTCATATACAGGTTCTGGGGTACACTAGAGGTGAATTTTGTCTTTTTTTATCATAACATATTTTTGTTTCTCTTGCTAATAACATAATTGCTTCTCTTTATAGTATGTTGAAATTGTAGCAAGTTACTAATTTTAAATATCTAATAGAGTCACGGTTAATTTGGATTTATGTTTCGTTTTGATATTCTGATTTTTGATGAATGGGAACTGTGATTTCACTCAGTTTTATTTTCATGTCTATTTTATTTACTAATTAATTTTGTATTATCAACCATAACATAATCTCTTTATTTATTTTTTGATAATCTTTTTTAATATTTTTTTCTGTTAGTACTCTTACTGGCAGTGACTGTAGGCCAAATTTTTCTTTTGTTATTTTATATATGGGTTTTATTTATTTTTTCCCTAAAATCTAGTTCTTAGTTTGAATTATTGTCATCCTAACCTCGTGAATTCTACCTGTGGTATATATTTCCTGTTCTCAGAAGATAATTATAGTCAAACCTTCTGCAGAATATTTTATTATTCGCTTAATGCATACTTTTTAAACTTTATCTAATGTTTCAGTTTAATATCTAAAACATACACTGTGTTCATTTGAAAAAGTCCATCTCAATATTACAGCAATGTGACATATTAGAAAGAAATGCCGAGATAGGTCGATTTTTAAATTTAGTTTTGTTTTTATTTTGGATAATAGCAACAATGACGTCGTGATGACGCCATCCTTTGTTTTTTAAAGGAACTTTCAAATTTATTATATCTCTTAATCATATCTTATTTCAAAATCCGAAGATTTCTACCACATGTTCGAAACCAAAATTCAGATTCTTACTCAAATCTGTGCCTTCTACGATATAGGCACTTCTAAGGTCATGTACCGACGCTATATTTATAATGAGGCACGTGCAAGAGAAATTAGAATACCAAAAACCGGCATGTCTATGTTTCGCGGACCTTAAGAAGGCATTTGACCGGGTAAAATTAAAGGACGTTATCCACTTATTGTACGTAAGAGAGATACCTTCAGAAATAATCTAAACGATCGAGAATATCTACCAAAACAACACAAAAGTAGAAAAAGATTTAACTTTCGCTATTGGAGCTGGCAATGGGATAAGACAGGGAGATTCCCTGATTCCTCTATTGTTCAACCTGATTATGGATGAAATAATAAAAAAAGTAAGAACTACAGAAGGATGCCACATGAGAGAAAAACAACTTAAAATAATCTGCTATGCAGACGACGCAAATACTTAAAAGTGAAGATGATTTACAACGTATGCTGTACCAATTTAATATAACCGCCAAAAAATATAACATGTTAATTTCCTCAAAAAAGACAAAATGCATGGTTATAACAGCAAATTTAGGTACTAAGATGTAAATTGGTGCAGGAAGGTCAGATAATAGAACAAGTGATGAAGTTTAAATATCTAGGCATATTTTACAAAACAGCCATCAGACCAATAATGACCTACGCGGCAGAAACACGATTTGACACAGAGAGGACAAAAATAATGTTAGAAACAACAGAGATGAAATCACTTAAAAAAATTGATGGTAAAACACTATGGGACAGACTAGGTAAGAAATAGAAGACTAAAATGGAACGATCATATAAGCCAAACGACAACAAATAGAGTAGTAAAGACGGCAAGAGACGGTTTCCCAATAGGAAGACGATCAGTAGTAAAACCACTAAAATAATGGAACAATAACTTACTGGCACATTGAAAAAGCGAGTCATGTCTACATAAAAAGGAGAAGTTTATTAATATTTAACCCTATGGCTTCTAACAGTTTTCTTAACTACCATTCTTGTCATCCATTTAAATATAAAATCAATCTCAAACAAGCCCTTAGTTTCAGGTTACACAGATTATCATATGCGGTTAATCGAAGGGAATCCCTTCTTTTTACTTAGAAGTATTCTTATTGAAAACTTCTACCCTTCCTCCTTAATTAACAAGTATCTTCTCTCGACAAGTTATGGTTCCACAATTAACGATTTACCCAATGGATATATTTTTTTGCATTGTTATACTGAAGCTTTTTTAACATTTCTGTTGTTTGTATACTTTTTTAACTTTCACAAAACTGACTTTGCTTAATATATTTTGTAAGGTAAACCACATGTAAATTTTTTTGTACAGTTGCGGTCACGGAATAGTTTACAGGTTCACGTATCTAGGAGCCCATTTTTTAAATTTTTACTTCGTTTAAACGCACCTTTTACGTCAAAGTGACGTTGCCAGTGGTGTACTAGCTAGAATAGGTAGATTAAAATTAAAATATCAAAATATTTTACAAAATGAAAAATATAGAAAACAGTTTTTTGAATAAAATGGATTATGATCTTAATAACGAAAATAAAGAAGTCTTTTTTTTTAATATGCATTTTATTTTAAATCTATTTTATATTAAATAACGATAAACAATGATAAATAATAATTAATATTTGGTGGAAGCCCCATTCTTGTCAATACAATTTTGCAGTCTTCTGTTCATAGATAGCACCAATCCCCTCATGTTATAGTTAACAAGCTCTTCCCATGCCTGCTCAATTGCTTCCCATAATTCAATTCTATTCCGTGGTCTAAGGTTTCTTTCATTTAGTTTCTTTGTTAACTCTGCCCACACATTTTCGACGGGGTTAAAGTCTGCACTACGGGAAGGCCACGGAAGAACATTAACATCAGTTTCGTCTAGCCATTCTCGAACAATTCTACTCGTATGCACCGGGCAATTGTCATGTTGGAAGATAAAGTCGTTGTTGGGGAATCTCTGGATCACCGATGGCAACATTGTGTGCTCAATAATATGTTTGTAATATAATCCTGTTAACTTCTCCTCTACATGATAACAAACGCCCGGGCCTTCGGCACTTATCCATCCCCATACGTTGACAGAGAATCCTCCACTATTTCTTAAATGATGCGTATACTGTTCATCATACCTATGATTTCTCGGCCTATAAACTCTTATTCGACCATTATTATACGACTGAAATACTTTTTCATCGGAAAATACAACCCTAGACCAAAAATTCTCATCGCGGTTTATAAATTCATTACAAAATTCAACTCGTCTCCTCTTGTGATCCTCAGTCAAAAAAGGCTTCCGTGCAGCTACACAATTTAGCAGTCCACTTGCTTTAATTCTTCGACGTGCAGTGCGAATACTGCCTGGAAACGCTGCCTCTTCTCTTGCCTTTTGAGCTGTGGCAAAAGGAGATTCTCTCAAATAATCTACTAACATCTCATCCTGTTGATCTGTGGAAATATTCTGCCCTCCTGAACCGCCCAACCGTGCTATAGAGTGCAAATTATCCCATCTTTGTTTAATCTTCCATATGCACATATGACTCACGTTCAAATCAGCAGCAACTTGCCTTAGTGACCAACCTTCTTCGAGTTTGGCAATTGCTCTTGCTTTTTGCGCATAATTCAAATGTATTCTAACCATTTTGGAAGAGTTTAATATACTTTTATTTTATTGTTGAACACTCGCCAAAGCATTGACGTTTTGAAATTTTTTGACTTTGACATTTATCAAATCCGTACGACACTGCAATTTTACAGTATTACAATATAAAAAGTAAGGTGTAAACTATTCCGTGACCGCAACTGTACATATGGATGTTTGCTTATTTAAATAATTTTGTAGATGAATTGATGATGAGTACAAACTTAATACACGAAACGTCTTCAATAAAAGGATGAAGTAGCTGATATTCTTTTTTTTTTTGGTATACCTTTGGGCCATAACTATCGTATATTTTTGATCATAACTTAGGTCAAACCTTAAGACTCAGTAATGATGTAGTTGCCTCTCACCACAACAGTGCTCTAGATGCAATTGGACTCCTGATGCACACTACTGCTGATACCTTGTCTCACCATGGATTAAGGAACAATAAATGAGAAATAATATATATTAACAGTCTTGTATCATAACCACAATAAAAATATTTTTGCAAGAAAATAAAAATCATTAAGCTCACATGGTTTCATTATGTTTTACGCTTATCATAGTTTTATTTGAACTTTTACAAAATTAATTTATATATGATCTATATTAAATTATATTACCAGTTAGTCTAGCTAAAGGCTTTTTGTCTTTATCAGGATTCCAAAGAAATAATGTGAAATCATCAGAACCTGATACTAATCTTTCTCCAATAGATTCTGTAACTTCATAGTATCGTTTTAGGGCAAAGTCCTGAGATTTTTTCTTGTCTGGCATTAATGTATCTTTATTAGAATCCTTAACGGGATCAAATGCTCCTGAAAAGTAAATTGTTTTTAGTTTTTTTATACAAAAATGAATATACAGTGAGTCCAATTAAGTCGGTTCATATGGGAAACTTTTTTATTCTTAGTTTTATTTAAAAAATTATTCTTTATACAAAGTTTTGCATGATCTAAAACTTACATTACAAACATCAGATATCATTTTTTAAGCCATATACAAAGTTTGAATTTCGTTCAAGAGTAAAGCACCTTTATATTTCACAATATCGAAAATTGTTATTAAGAAAAGTTGTTTGGAATTAAAAACTTTGTTTTAATATGCAATTACATCCTTCTAATTGAAAATTTTTTTTTACGATTTTGCATAGATCTGCAATTAGAAAGATGTATTTGCTTATTAAAACATAAGTTTTAATTCCAAACAACTTTTCATAACAAATCTTCGATATTGTGAAGTATAAAGGTACTTTACTCTTGAGCTAAATTAACAAGTAATTCCTACACCAGATGGGCTGGTCACTATGGAAGCCACCACATTATGGATCAAAACGGAAAATGATATGCTGAAGATTGTTTCAGCATATGTTAGACTGTATGATCCGATCTTCAATGGAGAATTGAATGTCATTTTGGACACAGAGGAGCCCACCATTATCATTGGAGACTTGAATGCAAGATCGCTCAACTAGTTCGACAGAACCACAAACCGTAACGGGAGACTATTCTGTGGCTATCTCGAAGACGGATAAAACACCATAGTGGTAGAACCCACAGAACCTACATACAATTCTACAAAACGTGGGTCAACAACACGAAATACACCGCACGTGTACTCTATACTCTAAAAAACGGACAAGTTCGCCAAACTACAAAAAAAAAATAAGCGAAACTATCGGTGCAATAACAACAATAATCACAAAACAAGAACTAGAGGAATGTGTCATAAACCTAGAAAAAAAAACGATAACAAAACGCTATCGAGGCCAGCACTACAGAAGAAGAAACACCAACAGTTAGGGAAGATTCGGAGAAATCAGCAACGAGCTGAAAGAACTAATACAGAAAAAAAAACAGAAAAAGAAGAAAGGCCAACAGAACAAGAAACCAAGAGGACAAAAGAATTGCTAATGAGCTAAGTAGGGAAGTCAAAAAACAATTGGATGAACATCGAAACGAAAATTAGGACAACTATATCCAGCAACTAAACCCAAATAAATCTGCGTTCTGGAAGCTATCTAAAATACTAAAAAAATATAAAATTGAAAAAAGATTTGAAAAATTCCATCCATTTCCACATGAAAAAAATAGAATTGTGTACGCAGAAGACAAAGAGGAAGTTATGAAAAACGCGCTAGAAAGAGGATGTAGGAAAAATTATCATCCTAATGAAGATCTCGACTTCACAGAAGAAGTGGAAAGAAGATACAGGACAATAAAAAGAAGAAGGGGCAACATAGATACCCATACCTCCCCTGAAGAAATCAAACAGTTGACCAAGCGTACTAACACCAAAAAAGCTCCAGGACCAAACCATATTACGAATAGAGCACTGAAGAATCTGCCAGCAAAAAAAAGTAATATACATAACAAATTTAATCAACCACATCCTAAGATTAAGACATTTTCGTGGCAGATGGAAGGAATCTCAAGTAATAATGATCTAAAAACCAGAGAAAAATGTCACATTTCCACAGAATTATCGGCCAACAAGCTTATTACCAGCAATAAGCAAACTTGCAGATCGGGTCATACTAGCTAGACTAAAACAAGAATCAGAAGAAATCGGAACTGTACGTGAAGCACAGTTCGGATTCGGATCCAGACACTCATGTGAACTTTAGGTACTGCGTCTAGGAATATATCACAAAAAGGGTTTCAATGAAAAGAAATATACAGCAGTCGCCTTTTTAGATGTCAGTAAAGCATTCGACAGAGTCTGGCACAAAAGCCTCCTGTATAAAATAAACCAATATGGTTATAGTGAGGCGATGACGTGTCTTCTCTCGTCATACCTAGCCGACATAAGGTTCAGAGTTCAGATAGGGCCAACCCTGTCCGAAGCTGGGGCCATGGAGGCTGGTGTGACACAGGGAGCGGTGTTGTCGCCGTATCTATACACCATATACATAGCAGACACCCCAACCGAACCCAGATCGTTGCTAAGTCTATACCATTGAGCAATAAGACAAAAGAGGGAATCTAATCCTTATGAAAAGGAGACCAAAAAAGTGGCCTCTGATGGCGGACATATCCGGAAATGCGAATGCGCCAAATTTAAATTTTCCGACACTTATCAACAGTAGCTATATAATATTTTTCAGAATGTGTCTTAGACGAGAAAGTTTTAATTAATTCTTAATGATAAGAGTCTAAAATGCGACACAATTGTTAAAAAACTTCAATATTAATAAGATTTCATGTGACATTTGGGACAAACAATAACATAACCCAACTAAATTTGATGTCAAACAAGGAGAGAGACTCTCTTTCCTTGTTTAATGTGGCCTCTAAAGATCGCACTTCCTATCTAACAATATGTTTGCCCCCACTACCTTTACATTCCCTCTTTTGTCTTTTTGCTCAATGGTCTATACGCAGACAATACAGCGATAGTTGCTAGTAGTACCAACCCAGATCTAGCAACACGACACCTACAAATGGCACTTAACAAACTACAAGATTGGTGTATACAGTGGAAGATAGCTGCCAATCCTGACAAAACACAGGCTGTCATGTACCAAAAAAGTAGAGGTGGACCACATGAGGTTTTAGCCCTATTTGATACGCAAATTGAATGGTCAAGTCAAGCCAAATATCTAGGCGTAACATTGGACAAAAAGCTGACCTTCACAAAACACGTGAAATAAATGGTCCAGAAAGTTAAAATAATTAGAAGTCAACTCTCATCATTAATAGATGTTTCTACAAAGATGTTTCTCGAGACTGAGGGTTTTCTACTTGCCATTCAGGATTAAGTTATTCCAACTAAAAATTACCTGAAATATATTGTTAAAGATCCTCATGTACCAAAATAACAAATACTGATATGGATACCAAGCCCAAGAAACCATCCAACATCTTGTCAGTACTAATTATAAAGAACGCCATGACTCACTAGGAAAGAGTATCCACCAAGAACTAGCTGACAAACTGGGACTTTTCCAAAACGACCATCTTCCTTATTATCAATACATCCCTAACAGAATGCTTGAAAATGACAACTACAGCTATACTGGGACCACACTGTGGGCACAGACTAACGAGTGGCAATACTAGACCAGATTTTATACTAGTTAATAAACTTACTAGGCAAACAACACTTATTGATGTGGTTATACCAACACTAATAATTATTTATGTGTTATATACAGCAAAAAGATTGTCAAGTATAGAGATCTACAAATACAAATCAGGAGACAAAAGAGAATGGAAAATACCCAGACAGTATCTATTATTCTATCTACTACTGGTGTTATTCCCAAAAACCTCCTAGAGAACATAAAATAGATGGGTCTAAATGAATGTCTCTATAAAGCCATGCAGAAAGCTGTACACCTCACGACATCCAGATGTGCATCCAAATTTTTGGGAGATACTCCAGCATATCAAGTCACCTAGGGCTCGATAACATGGAAAGAGTCCCACCAGAGTTCCATCCATTTGATATCATAGGTATCTGGAATGAGTGAATTTTCCCCTTAGAGGGAGCCATAGCCATACTGCTCACACTCCTTAGAGGGAGTGTGAGCAGTATGGCTAAATCTGGAATGAATGTCCATTTATATTAATACCAACACTACTCGAGAAGTCACTAAAGCATATGAAAGTGATGATAGTATCTCTATCACACTACTCATGATCACTTATCAGCACAGCATCATCTCTGTCACAATTCTTTTATTACTACAAATTCTTCTGATAGTATATTTCCTACTTTAATTTTTGATGTGGTTTGTTGTAAAGTTGCTTTACTACTGAAAGGATTCTATTATTTATTGCAGAATTTTCCAGATCTTGCCATAGTTTTTCTCTGGCACGGTGTAAGATTGCATCAATATCTGCCTAGAATATAGATTTATATTCTCTTAGTGGAAAGAAATGTGTAAATTTCCACCACTACTGAATATTCCTGTACCCAACTTCTCTGTGTACCAGGTATAATCCTGCAATCTGTATATTCACCTGAACTGGTAGCACAGGCATATATCTGGATACCATATGATCAGAAATCATCATCTATTTAATGTCCCTTGAAGTTTTTGCACCTTGCTTAGCTTGAGAAAGATACTTTTTTTCTGCACCATAGCACTGATGCATATGTAATTGTTGGTTTTACCACCATGTTATAAATCTAATATAGCATGCCTGGTTTTAAACCCCGTATTTTCCTATGAGTTCATCTGGCTAACATTCTATCTGCTGATTCCAAGTAAGTGCCATAAGTATAATATTACACCAAGATACTTCATTCACTAGATTTAGATTCGTACCATTCAGCTTTAGATAACCTAATCCCTCTAAATTGTTCCACATAATAATTTTCATGATTTTGGATTCCTGGGGCTTATGTTAACATATCTGAAGGCATTGAAGTCCATTCTGAAACCACAGTCAGAGTTTGTTGCATTGTACCTCTCTATATTAAATTTGCTATGGTCTAACATATCAGGATATGACATCTGTCATTGCTGAGTCTAGCTATCAGTCCATTCATGACCAGATTCCACAAGAGAAAAGATAAGACTCCCTGTGGACAGCCTCTGGCTACCTGTGCTGGCACTATATCCCCCAATAAAGGTGCATTTACCACACAGCTCAGCATGCAGTCTAGCCATTTGCAGTTTGTTTTGTCTATTCCTTTTGGATGAATCCCTTTGTGATTTTCTTCATAGAAGATGTTACAGAATGCTAACTCTATATGGAGAAATGCACCCAGCCTCACTTCTTGGTTTTATAATGCAGTGTTGTTTCTGTAGAGAGTCCTGTTCTATAAGCATACTGTGGCTGATGTATTGGACTTTCTACCAATACATTATCCCTTTTCGTATGTACCCAGTCCTAACTTAGGATAGAACTAGTGTTAGGAAAATCCCATCCAAACCCAATGATTTATATTGCTCAAATGACTTATTACCATTTGATTTTGTCCTGATTTGCCACTTCTTTTACCATACAGCAGTTTTCCTTAGAAACAGAAGTTATGGTAACCTGTCTAGTATGTTGCCATATGTCTAGTAGTATCAGTTTTCTTTTAGACTCAGAAAAGTGTACCACTGAAAAGTTCTTTCAACATATTATAAACAAATGGGGAAGTTAAAGCAAAAAAATTTAATTCCACTTACTTACCTATCCTTAAAATGTAGTCAGTATTTAAAGCTAATGTATTGACCCAATGAGCATGTCCTTCTAATGTCCTACACAGGACACCATCTTTGGCTCTCCATACTTTAACTGTCCTATCTTGTGAGGCTGAATAAATGAGACCTGCCCCACCCCATTTCACCATTGTTACACTTTTTGTATGACCAGATATACAAAACAAAGTATTGCTAAGTACAGTATCCCATATCCTTACATCTCCATCTTTTGAAGAACTTGCCAAATATCTAAAATATATATTAATTAAAAATTATTATTTCTTTTATTTAATGCATTATGTCAGGAAGGTTGGCAGAGTTAAAGATAGATTAAAAAACTTTCTATATCTTACTATATACTTATTATCATTTTTTCTATGATTTGTTTTTTAACAGGAGTAATTCAAATTTACTGCGCCACCATGCTTGTTTGCAATTGGTCCAACCGCAGGCAAGTTTACTCCACTAAATTACAACATTTTGACACTAATGACATTTATGAAATTTTAAAATTCAAAATTAAATTGATGATTTTTTGTATTTTCTGTGTTATTCCTTTAATTTTTAGATTTTTTGTTTGCATTTATATAAAAAACAGTTCTTTTCAAAACTATTTAGTGGCAATTATCCTTCTCTACCTAAAAAAACACCGAGTTGATTTGGGTGATTAATTATAAAATGAAAAACAATGCGTTATAAACATGTACAAACAAATAAAAATTGATAATCCTGGAATGAAAATAACAGCTATTATATGAAGATAAAACAGCAACAGATTAGTTTTGTATAATAGTTATTGTTAAAATCACAACTTACTAAAGTAATGTGCTAATTTTAGGTGTTGCAAATTCAACTATTTACAGAACAATTAAGGAATATAAGTAGACTGGAACAGTAAGATGTCCTAAAAATATTGTCGGTTGACCTTCTATCCTTGCAACATACAATGAAAGAGCTAAAACATCTGTATGACAGATCTTCCAAATATGTGTTGTCCATTATTATATAAATTCTTAAAGCAAATCAATTTTAAGTAAGTAAATATGGGTTAGCCACAATTTCTTCATAAAATATTATTCAAACATAGACAAAGTTAGAATTGACATGTGAGGTTGTCAGATACTGATTACTCGATTACAGCAAGGCCAAAATAATCAACCAAAAAAGATGTATTTGGTCACTTTTCTAGTAACTTCCTTGGGTGTGAAGTTGTCTTCTTAGTTTAATCCTCCTAGTTAAAAAACTATTTTCTTGTGGTATCTTAATAAAATTTACTATTTTTATTGGGAATATGCCACAATTTGGCAGTAAAATAAGTTTATTTTGATGTTTAATTCCCATTTCAGAAATAAAGAAATAAAATCACTTTGAGAATGACTTTTGAAATCGAAATTGAAACATATGGAAATGGAAATCTAAATAAACTTATTTTAACATGTTAAGCCCCAAAGCATTGACACTCTCATTTCATCTCAGAGCAGACATACTGTGGCCATGTTTAAACACAATAATACTGTGGGCCAAATTGGTATGCATGGTCCATTAAAAACATGCCATGTAAAATTGAGGCTTATTCCCAATACAAATAGTAAAAAAAAATCTTGGTATTAAGGCAACATAACAAACAGAAAAAATATTATATAGACTTGTATGTCTGAGAGGATAACATGTAACCACATCTCTGTAACAGACCTGTAAGCACTATGGGCAGTCTTGTCTGTACATTGTTGCTGAAAGAAAGTTTATTTTTTAGATGGTCTGGGAAATATTTCAATGATGTAATTACAAGAGTTAAAAGCAGGTTCATATCTCAGATTAAATCAAAAGTTTCTTTAATCTCAATTCATAAAATTTTATAATTTTGATTAAAACTATTTTAATATTTCGGGTGTTATGCTTTGAAAGGCCTGAATGATTTTTTGACATAATTCATCTAAATTTCCGGCATTCATTCCGACATTCATGCTCATGCCAGTAAATTTGTTACTTAACATAACCCAATCTGAAGTGGTGTGACAGTACTAATTTCATACTATATTCAGTTTATCTCTGTTAAAACAACCTCAGACTGTTATTTAGCACAAATTATGCATTTTATATGCAGTTTTCAAAATACCAGAACTGTATATCACTTTTACAAACCATTTTATATGCTTTGCAGTGAAGTAGAAGTAAATAACAAGAAAGTAAATATCAAAGCACTTTCTAATAAATTAGTATAAATTGTAAAGATAATAAGACATTTAAGTCATAGATATATCTTGAAATCAGAGCAAGTTTGTGATTCATTAAAATGATGTAAGTGTGTGAAAGAGAATAAGGTTATTTACATTATCACTTTTATTATAAACTTGTTTTTATTCTTCATCAACTATAATTAGCTAATTAATTGTATGAGACAACAAATCCAAGTTAGCACCCTAAAATTTCTTGGATCAAGTTACGAGACAAGTGCAAATGTTAAATAAGCACCATTAAACTCCAATTTCACTTACCTACATTCAGGGTTTTTATGATAAGGTTCCCAGCTTAAACTAGTAATCCACTGTTTATGTCCAGTTAAAGTTTTACCAATTTGCTTTCCTGTAAAAGGATCCCACACAATAACTTTCCCATCCTTACAAGCAGAAGCCAATTTAGTACTATCAGGAGACCATGCTATACACAATACCCAATTTTTATGACCTTCACAAGTATATAAAGGAGTTTGAGTATCAACATCCCAAAACCTGACTGTTGTATCCCCAGATCCACTTGCTAAATGTTTACCATCTGGACTAAAACTAACTGAAATAACTGCTTCTGCATGACCTGGTATTGAACTAGTACACCTTGTTACCGGACGTACCCTAAATACAGCTTGTTGTTGATAAATAATATCTACAACACCTTCTGTATTTAATTCAGTTATATTTAACGATTTTTCCAAACTATGGGTTATTTCGTTTTCGTTAACATAAAATAAGTATGGTACTGGTTCCTCCTGTTTTAACAAAGCATTACAAATTAACGTGAGCTGCTGTAAGGAACAATCTATGGGTAGATCCATCATGTCACCGGCAACTTCTCCATTTTCCGATTTAAAACAACACAATAGACGCTTCTTTTCTGTTACAGCTTCGCCTTCGTTTTCCATTATTAAATTATTTAATTTTAAAAGTACAAACACAATTTTCTTCTTAGATTTAAACTTAAACACAAAACAACATAACCTCAAACTGTCAAATATAAACCACGTGTGTTTATTTCATCCAGAGATATGTAAGAGAGATTTTCATCTCTCTTACTCTTACTCTCTTACCTATCTCTGATTTCATCTTATTGTCTATTCGCTTAGCTAGGGCATATTTTGACAGACTCATTGTTGGAAACCTACAACACAACAATTCCTACTTCTCAGTATTAATAGCTCAAGTATACTACTATTGCAGACTACTTTCTTTGAAAAAAAGAAGAATTATTCTAAATAGTGGAAGTGTATACTAAACCCAACAAATTTTCCCTGTATAAATATAATATTTGAATTGTTACAATTTAAAATATTGTAGTAAATATTTGTATTATTCGCGTTGTTTATTTAATTTAATATAGTTTTATTGTTTTATTATCTTTGTTTAATTCTTTTGTTAGTTCTATTCAGTTAATTAGTTAGTTATATTTTAAATTTTATTATTATGGATAGTCAAAGTTTTCCATTTGTTCCATCAGCTAATGCGTTGGTAAGTTTTTCTTAATAAATATGATAAAATGTTTTTTAAAAGTTAATATTTTTAGATTAGTTGTTTCTAATTTAATATAAACTTGTTTATACTTACATGGAGGTTTTTGTTTTTTGTTTGTGTTTATATGACTGCAGACTGCGACCAGGACACTGAATTCATTCACCATATGTGGAAGATTTTAACATCCTCAAATGCTAATGAGCAAAAATTACTATTGAACCATACGAATTTGCCTAGTCAAATTACTAATATTTGCTTTTAGCATATGGAAGTACACTTATTTTGTAAGATAATAAAACAACAGTTTATGTTAATGCTATCCAATGAACTGTTAATCTTTAACCATTGATTCCATCCTAGTCACAACATAAGGAACTTGCTGTGTCTTATTTAACCTCACTTTGACTTTTTAATTTTGTAGAATTTATTCCCACTTTTTTTATTTTGTACAATAAATAATTTTATTATTTGTTATCAATACATTATACGGTGTAAATAAATAAATATTGATTGTCGGCAAAGTTCTGTTTTATTTACTTTTGTTTACATTAATATTGACTAAGAGTACGTATACTTGGTTGTATAGTAATTTCCAGCCACTTCGAGTCTGTCAAAAAGTAACTAACTTCGCAAAAAAATAATTACTAAAATCACTAGACAGTTCGGACTGGGAATAGCGAACCGGGTATATCTCATCACATCTAGTGAACCAATGACGTTACGTCATGTAAGTGACGACTGTGACGAGAATCACAGAATAATAAACAATCAGAATGCCCACTCTCAGATGCCACCTTTGAAGTTTTCATAGACCAAAACCAAATGGTTCTAAATTTAATAATTTCTACTTCTTTGTTTTTAATATAAAATAACATAAAATGTAAAACACAACACTGTTTTTTCTGCAGAAAATATATTTAATTTAATACATTTCGCATATTTCTTAGAAGAAAATAATTTTAAAATAACTATTTCTGTTTGCAAACTATTTATATTTCAAACATTTTTATTTCAAGTATTATTGTTCTTCAGATGCTTTTAAAATTTTATTATATACTAAATATACCTACTTCCATTAAAGAGTGTATTCTTAAGTACATATTATCTGGTCAGCAGACGAATCTTTTCTCACTTTACCTCTCTCGTTCACTGACAAAGAGAATAATAGTCGCATGCATTATTTGATATTTATTTTAAAACCTTATTTTGTCGGTATAAACATCGTACAAGAGTAAATGGAAAATTGTCTAAAAAGGTTAATGAAAAGTCCTGAGAAAATTAAATTTTTGGTTGAAAAATTTTGAAATTTTTAAAAAATATTTCGTTAATTTTTGGGCAGAAAAACAGTATAATAAAAATGTATGTGACGGTTTTTCGTTGTGTTGGAACAAACCTATTTTTAATTCAAAGTTATAAAATGTAAAAAATAAATGCTTTGAATATTGTAAATATAGTACCTCTTTAAATTTCAAAATTAAAAATTTAATGTATTAAAAATAAAGATTTTATTGTGAAAAAAAAACAAAAAAAAGCATGGAAATTTTTTTTGATCATAGATGCAAAGAAATATGAAATTAGGCGAAATGTATCAAATTAAATATATTCTGCAGAAAAAACAGTGTTGTGTTTTACATTTTATGTTATTTTATATTAAAAACAAAGAAGAAATTATTAAATTTAGAAAATTTGGAAATATTTAATTCCGGTGATTGATGACTTTATTGATTGAATTAACTTTATTTATAGTTAATAAGAAGAGAGCTTCTCAAATTACACTTTTTGCCGAATCACACGCTTTCGATAATCTCCTACACTCAGATATCAAATTTGCTTTCGTCGCTATAAATAACTTTGTCCCAGTTATGTTTGGTCCACGAAAGTTTTGATTTAGCCCAAATGTAACGATCCTTTGAATTTCCGTCAGCAATGGTTTTTCTTTGGCCTACTCGAATAAATCAAAAAACAGAAATTTTATATCGCAAAGAAGAACCTATCAAACATACTTTATAAAAACTAAGACCGCTTTTGTGGATATATTTGCAACAGGATTCTCTGGAAACATTCATCCCAGTTTCTCTATTCCTTCTAACGGTTACTTCTCGTAGTATATTTCTTCTTCCCGACTTACATATTCGAATTAAATGCACTCCTTTAAGAAACAGCTTTTTGATGGCCTGAGCTTTTTCTGCAAACATCAATACTGGCAGTTTCACCATATTTATTAATTATATTAAACAACGTAGTTGTTGCTACAGTCAATTCACTAGAAATTTCACGCATTGTTTTCCCTTCATGGTACTGATAATTAATAATTTCTCGAACTTTTGGATCAGTAGGGTTTCCACACGTTCCATTATTATATTTTACTCGTAATAAAACTGACATTCGTCGTTATTCATACTCAAATGAGCCATGGCAATTATTGTTGACAACGCACTACCTACTCGTATGTTTGATTTCAAAGCCTTCTTTGTATCAGGCTAATAAAATTTAAGAAACGTGAGGAAAAGCCAAACACGTTCCAACATTTAGTTGTCAGCAGTTTTCGATTATCACACAATTACATAGTATTCAATATAAAATATATAATTAAGTCGAAAAATAATTCCATACATTAAAAAAATGTTAATTTAATATTTACAATTAAAAAAAAAATTAAATAAAATAATTTCGGTAAATTGGCATTATATTCGCAAAATAACTGCTTGTTCCAACATATAGTTGTTAGGGCTCGTATGCCTTTAAATCAGAGTTACTGGAAAATTTCGAAACGTAATGAAAAACTAACAGTTTATATAGTTGACCAAATTGTATTAAGTTATGGACATAAAGTACTACGGTTACCGCTGGCTACATCTGGGGTATTGTGTAAAACGTTTTATGATAATCATCTTGGATGCAGTGACGCCTCTTAAGATATTCGATTACTCCTTGATCTACTGGTTGGATGATATTTGTTACATTTGGTGGAAGAAAAATACATTTTATTCCAGGCTCCTTTTCACTCTGAATGTTTTCAGGATGTGTTGGTGCATTATCCAACACCAAAATAGCCTTGACTGGTAACTTTAAGCTTGTTAAATATTTTGCTACACTAGGACAAAATTCATTGATAAACCAATCTTTAAACACGTACGCGTCCATCCAGGCCGATCTTTGATTTTTATAGCATACTGGGAGTGAAGAAACGTTAACGTTTTTGAATGCTCGTGGTTTCTGTATGACTTCTCACATATTTTTAATACTTGTTTGTGGTACATTAATTTTGGGACAATGAAATACGTTTATTGGTAACATATATTTATTGTTTTTATACTACAAATTTGCTAGTTTGAATGATTACTTAGGTCATCCAGACACTAACGTTTTGGCGATTAAAAACAAAAGATATCAACACAAAATTTTATTTAAACAATCGCAAGACCTTGGGTATTTTTCAATGTACGTCGATACCTTTATTGACAAGGGTCAAAGCATTTACTGTATCGTGAAATCAGTTTTTCGATGCCGGTGTTGTAGTCCTCTACCGCCAAACGTCTGAGCCAGGATAGTACTTCATATTTGAGCTCTTCGTCGTTTCCAAACTCCTTTCTCAAAATTTCGCATCTTCCAATGTATCATTAATATCACTTGGAATAAAATATGAAATACTGGTAAATCTACACATAAGCGATTAAAGTATAATTAAGAAAAAATTTTACACACTATCTTCCTTCACTCTGGAATATCACATTATGTGTTCTCTGAAATTGTTATATATATATATATATATATATATATATATATATATTATATATAATATATATATATAATATATATATATATAATATATATATATATATATATATATATATATATATAATATATATATATATATATATATATATATATATATATATATATATATATATATATATATATACTATAATATAATTACATATTTCTAAGGCTTTTCTACAGTGTGCAAACTCATATGTCGGTTCAAACTATTTGCTGTAGTAGCCTGTTTAAAACAAATTTCGCACTTTTAAGGCATTTCTCTAGTGTGCACTTTCAAATGTGATTTTAAACCACCTTTTTTTGGGAACAACTTAAAACAAATTTCACACTTATACGGTTTTTCCCCAGTATGCAATCTCATATGTTGTTTCATATTACTACGTCGAGAAAAAGGCTTAAAACAAATTTCACACTTGTATGGTTGTTCCCCAGTGTGCAATCTCATATGCCGTTTTATATAACTTCGTTGAGAAAAAGGCTTAAAACAAATTTCACACTTGTATGGTTTTTCTCCCGTGTGCAATCTCATATGTTGTTTCATATGACTTCGTTGAGAAAACTGCTTAAAACAAATTTCACACTTGTAAGGTTTTTCTCCAGTGTGCGATTTCATATGGTATCTAATAGCACTGGACTGAGAAAACGGCTTAAAACAAATTTCACACTTGTATGTTTGTTCCTCAGTATGCAAGCTCATATGTTCTTTCATATTACTTCGTCCAGAAAAAGGCTTAAAACAAATA